AACTTTGTGAAATCTAGCTCTGTAGCTAAAGGAAACTATGGTAAATTATCTGTACAACGGTAAAGAGGCGAAGGCGTTAGATTGAGAGAACCTCATCTCCTACGATAATGGAAAGTGTCTGATGTAATGAAAACATGACTGAGAGTGTACACTTGATAGTTAATTAAGATAACTAACAGTGGTGGAGTTATCTAAATTTTCATGTTTGTTACTAGTTATTTCATCTCTCTATTCACAGCTATGTATTATTACAATTAACATGTATAAGCAACAATCTTTGCCCTCTGTACTTATGAGGTTGTAGTTTTTTTGCCAATATCTTGCATATTTTAAGCCATAGGCACTTAGGTGAAACAACAGGGAAAATTGTGATCAACTTATATTGAAGTTATGCATCTAAAATACTGGGAGATGTGACAAACTTTCAAATTGCATAACTCTTTTGCATTATAACATATAAGTTGTCCTCAGATAATAGTGACTAAGTTGTAATTACCATATAATCCAAGTTTGCCTTTGTGCATTAAATATTTGTGAAAATGGAAGTATCTAACCTGCTGTTGGATGTGGAATAGAGTAAACTCAAAATGAGATCATTTTCCACCATCACTGTCACCATATCTGCTGCTGCAACTTGTTCTTGAGAAACAAGATGTTTAATTACGATGAGGTTAGTACACCAGGAATTGACTGCACAGTAGACACATGCAGATTTTATATGCTTTGTACAAAACATTTTACTCATGTGCTGATTATTAGTGTGTGACAATGTGAAGTTTAAATAAAGCAATCATACAGTGATACCTTTCACAGCAGCATCAAAATCTTGTCATTTTTCTTACCTTCAAGCTGAAGCTTGCTGTAAAGGAATAAAAGTTCGCACGTTTGAAGTAACTATCATACTCGAGATTGCATGTAGACATTTTTTATAACAAAAACGTGCGACAACCTTAAGGCATTAATGATTATGTCGCTGGAAATGGGTGAAATCAAGTGAAGATATCGCATAGGTGGCAAGAAGAAAATAACAAAAAGGGGTTGTTCCGTGAAACTTTTCCCCGAAGCATTTTAATCTACTGTGCATTCTGAGAAATTTTCAGGATCATGTAACTATAACTTAAACGCCCTTTATGTTATGCTTTACTCATTAAGGCCAAAGCATCTAAATTTAATGTTTTTAAGTTCCTTTCAAAAATTTTGCCAAATTCTATTTCAGAAAGTATACCAATAAAAACAGAATTTTGTTGTGGTGACACATTTTTTATTATTGGTACAATTTGAAGTGGAACAATTTGAAGTGGTACGTTAGGTGAAGAACAAGAGAGAGAAGTCCTTAAAAGTGAAAAACTCTCAAAGAACAAAAATGCATTAAGAGAAAAATTGTGTAACTCACTCATGTCTCAGTACCTTCAACAGAAAGTGATCAAATTCTATAAATGACAATTAGGGGTGTGTTATAGTATGTTCACCATTATTAATACTGACATAAGTTCCATCTCACAGCACAAGCACCAACAAACAATGTGTTGCAATGAAACTAAAAATTCACCTCTTTACCATCATTTCTGCGCCCCCTCCCCCCAAATTTTTTTTCTTTTTGTTCCAATATTTTTTGTTCCAAAGGAAAACTAATTTCCAAATGGGCAAAATCTTTTTGTCATTATTTCCATGACATGCAAACTTATCTTAAGATAATTAAAAGTTATCACACCTCACTTCATCATTACCTCTGAGTTCGCAAGAGTATGAAATCAGTCATTACCTTGATGTTAACGGTGTCACCCACTTAGGTCTGTCACAAGTGAATGAGCAAATCCTTGCTTTGAGGACATGTGCAGCGCAGAGATTGAGTTTATTCCTAACATGAAAATCAGAATTATGAAAACGACATTTAACTTGAAAAAAAAAAAAATAAATAAAAATAAAAATAAATTTAAAAAATCAGAAATTTCAGTTAATTTCCTGGTTTACAGAAAAGAAATTTGTCAAAAATGTTATTTGGTTGATAATTTCATTTTCAGGACGAAAACAATCTGCTTAAGTGTTGCAAACAGTCCATCCAGCCATATTGTGGACAATAAAGACCAACTCATATCTTCAGTAATACATTCAAGGATGCTGGAATGAAATTAAGAAAAACAAACAATTCCACCATATGTTGTTATAATGGAGAGTAAGTTTATCTTCAGGGTGTGTGTGTGTGTGTGTGTGTGTGTGTGTGTGAGAGAGGGGGGGGGGCAGGATACTGATAAAGAGTAAAACTGCATTGAGATACAGATTACAAAGATTTACTATATTTAGCCTCACAAGAAACTTTTCCAGCTTTTTCTTCAATTGGAAATAGAGGAATTTCTGGTAAAGGCAGATAAAAATTCTATCCAAAAGATATACCAATAGACCAGTAGCTATAGAAAAAAAACTGATATTTACAAGCCAATATTTCATCTGGTGACAGTCAGACTTCTCCAGAGAAATGACAGCTGCAAATCCAGAACACATAGCGAAACAGAAAAGAAGTTCTGAAACCCCTTAAACTTGAAATTCTATCAGAAATGTGATAGGGGTAGTGTTTAATTCCCAGATATCAGGGGACATATTCCTGGAAATAAGTCTAGACAAACAAAGCTATACTTTTTCATTAGCTGAGGTGAAGGGAAGGAGGCTTCCAGGAGGGTCAAGGTCAGGGTTGGATGGAGGCCATTTTCTGGGTCTTCTGGAAGACAGTCATAATTTTTAAGTTTATATTGACATGCATCTTATTTTTTCCACCAGAAGTCTGTCAAAATTGGAGGCTGGATCAAGAAAGATAATTTGGAAAGCTGTCAGAAAATGTTTCTGTATCCGCCTCTGAAGGTTGACTTGGAGGGAGGGAGTAAATGCAGAGAGAAGACAGATCCAAGCTGAAGGATGCAGACCCGAGTAAAAGACAAGAATGGAGGAGGACCATTTGTGGGAAAAGGTCCAACCCTGATTATTCAGGACAGAAGACCTAACAAAACTGAAGAAGATGATGATGATGTGTGAAGTGAAATATACTTTATCTAATTTATATAGTTGCATTGTAGTCTAATGTTATATATTGTAGCTTTGTATCCTCTTCTTCTACATGTATATTGCATACTTGTATCAGTATTTTCTGTACTGGCTTTTCACCAGTTCATAAAACACATTAGTCACAATAAATATTTAATTATCTTTAATATAAAAATGTTTTAAACTTATTCATTAGAATTATAATTATTTATTACATTATCGTAAAAGTAAAATGTATATATATATTGCAAAATGACATTTTCAAAGAAATGGAATTAAATCAATGGTGCAGAGACATAAAATGATTCTGAGAAACAAGCGACATCTATAACAGGGCTTTGCCTATTGTCTATATACCGCTAATATACCGGAGTGCTTATTTTTAGAAAAAATTTCCACCAATTAACTCCATCCCTGATCAAATACCCCTTTTCTTTATCTATGTGAATCAATAATTTCACTATCGAGCTCTCGCATTGTTTAACTGAAATGTTATCTTTTTAAAGAAGGCTTGAGAGTGCACATGCAGGTAACATAAACTGCATTCTTCCCTGGAAAAATAATCACAAACACCTTTGGTTATTGGGGAGAATCTCTTGTATCATCTTAACCTGACTTCATCATGTATACATATTCAAGTCCCCAATCTTGTGTTATAAAGACATAGAGCAAATAAGTTAAGTTCTTAGGTGCTTGAATCTTTCTGTGAAATGAAAAAGAGAAAAGCAACAATACTGAAAACAAAAAGACCCAATAAACATGCTGTAAAGGCATGTGAATTATTGATATTTTTGAGAAATCCTCAAGGGAGTAATTGGAAAGGAACACTTCGCAAGAATGAGATCACATGAAAATGATAACTTTCATTATATATAAGAATCATTACACAATAAAGAGCCTTGAACACTATCATAGCAAATAGTTACACTGAAGTTTTTTTCAAAGGCCTTATATCTCCATAGAATTTATTTGCAAGATGACAGTTTCTGCAGATAAGGCATAAGGTTTCATCATTAAATTGAAAACATGAGCAGCTACCTAAAACAAGCATAATTTAGAATAATTCTTTCATCAAAGCAATGACTTTCATTAATTGTTACAATAAACACTTTAAAAGGCCAACTAAAATGTTAACATAACCATACTGAATTGTAATTTTTTCAGGGAATAATTTTCCTCAAAGTCTTTTCAAGATAAAAAATGTTTCAGAATCAGAATAAAATCATTATGAAAAGGGCTGTCTTAAATAACATTACCTCAAAGGAAACTATAATAGATTTTGACATGAAAACATACAATTAAAATGTTCAGTAAGCAGACAATGTTCTATCAAGTTCAATAAAAAACTTAATACATTCCTTTTAGACACTTTTTCATTTTTACGAAGGGGGTATTAATTTAATTTTTTTTCAAGAATGTATCATGCCTTTGCTAAAGGGGGGTAATTTTTAAACAGAAAATAGGAAGGTTGATGATAAAAAGAAAAAAAATATGTTCTGATTATGTTATGATTTTTCACAACAAGACAAATCTTTCATAATTCATCAGAGCAATACCACAAGGGATGTTTACATTATTTGTTAACTATTTGTTAACAATGGGTGAGAGAAATGGTATCTTTTTCACTGGCACTTGAGAACACCACTCCACTCAAGGAATAAAGGGCTCTTCATTTTAAGTCCGCCTGTTCAAATCCCATGTCATTTTATCTCACCAAGCACAAGCACGTGGATAATTCCAAATTCTTTCAACTGCTTCAAAAACGACTTAAAAACTGTGAAAGATTCCAAGCTCTTTGTTAATTTATCATTGTTTATGGTTGCCATTTGAATGGACATTCCCTTGACAAAAGGAGAATTTATCAGGCGTTTAAGTAAGGACCAACATTGAACTTTATCAAGTTTTTTTTTCAGTACCAAAGCACAAATGTTCCTGTCCACCAAACTCTGACACGAGGAATAACTCACCTAAAAGTTTCTTGGAATCACCTATCTGGCTTTCTGTTGATAGTCTAAGCCTTCTAGTCTGAAAGAAAAATAAAGCGAAGTAAGATCAGAGAGTGCTCAATGGAACAAGATGCGAATTTCCATATCCCATAATTATATAGTGCAAGAAAAGGGAAATGAAAAAGCAATTTTGAAATGGTAAATTAAATTTAATAAAAGGTGGAAGCTAAGAGAGTGTACTTAGGTGTGAGTAAATCAGATATGGCAGCTTTCCGTTAATTAAATAACGGATTTCCTTTTTATCTGACCAGGTAATGAATATGCGATGTGTTTAATAACAACTTGAGAAATTACACAAAAAAGTCTCAAGCCAATCTTTTATCTCTCATTAAAAAAAACATTATGAGGATACATTTTTTTCTTCAATATAATTACAATTACATTTTCAAGAAGAGCAACATGTATATATCCTGAGAGTTTGACATTTTGAAAAGGTATTGAAGTAATGATGTTCATAATCAGTTGTTATCTTCTCGTCATGTTGGTCAAGTCCACACTGACTTAGTTAAAAAAATGACCAGAATACTCAAAATTTAATTTTGATTTCTTTATGAGCTCACCAGCAGAAAGTAAATGGCAGGAACAGGAGAAAGAGGGGGTTACTTTAACTTCTTAAAATTATACTTGACCATATGGTAGATTCTGAGATATTTTGCAGTACTTTTACAGGTCTCACTTCAGTTAATTTCTCACTTTTGGCAAGGGCCAAGGAGCTAAACCAACTTTTTGTATATTCAGAACCCCTCTGTTCTGTTTCCCTCATCTTTAAATCTGTTTTCAGGTGATAACAAATAAGTTGGGTCCAATTTTAGGATTTGCGTGAACATAACCTACGTAGCTTGAACTACTTAATATTTTCTTTCAACTTTCTTTCCAACTTTGAAATCTCCTCTCCTCATTTACATTTTTCTTGTTGTTTTGATTGCTTTTGAAGTCCTCTTCAATAATTGTGCAATCTATCTGCTTATAATTGAAAGACATTAATGTCACCATCATATATTTCATATTTCTAGAACTACAAAAATGAAAAAAAAAAAAAAAAAATACAATGGCCTAACATATGACCACCACTCACTGAGTTAAGAGTAGGCTTGAGTATATAAATGAGGTTCACATTCAGGGCCCTAATTTTTCATCTGCCAAACACCTCATTTAATCATATTTATCCTCAACAGTTACGCCCATTAAACTAAACTGCTAACATGAATCAGAAACAATCAGTTAACGTAACACTTAATACAGCTTTGGATGGAGAAAACTTGCGAAGATTTGAATACTTTCACACCTTAACTAACAAGAACAACAATTATTACAGTATTCACAACATTATATATAAACCGTAAAAGCTTGCCCTCCAGCCAAGGGTTATGTCACACTGGAAAAGCCAGACACTGACAAGCAAGCTTTTAATCCTCCACAGTTTGGACAGAGATTATCAACAATACCAGTTCAACAGGTACAACACTACCCCATCGATACAGTGCGTTCACAGCAAAGGGGTTGATTTTGTCGATTATTTCAACAAATTGAGTGCTACTTTTGATTACTTTTTTGTTATGAAATGTGCACATTTAAATTTATTTAATTTTATCTTAAATCAATTTTGTTTGCATACATTTGGTAGTGACAAATGCATAAGTATGCCCTACAGAGCACATGCACTTAATGGTAATCATGAGCGCCTTTTTAATTAAGAAAAGTTTTAAGAGGAGGGTGGGTGGAGAGGGTGACGAGGTTGGGTGGAGGGGATGAGTAGGGGGTTGCCAGGGGGTAAAATACCTATACAACAAACTACATGTAGGCAATCAGATATTTACCTCCTCGTGTTATAGTAGAGAACATTACTGTCTCTTTCATTATGTTTTTACCTTAGCTGTTCGGGAGGGTAATAGCCTACATTCAAAATTTATGGGCAGATCTTGATAAAATTTTCAGGATACATCACAAATGGGAGAAGGATAGAATTTTTGGTAATCAATTAATTAATCAATGAAGTAATTAACAATACTTGGAATTTATCTTCCTTGGCAGAGTTTTGTACTCTCTGCGTGCTTTTCTAGTTTATCGCCAATTTTTCTTTTTTCCTATCCTATACTCAAGCTGCCAGAACTCTTTATTTCTATCCTGGGTTTGGAGTAAAGATAAAAGGCAATGCAGCTACTTGAATGATGACTTTCTTAAAGGAAGAACTAATTGCTTGTCAATTTTTCTTTTATTTTTGTAAGCACATATATATTTCAATTTGGATTAATAATAAATGAAATACAATTTTCAGGCACACATGTACACACACACATACACACACACACACACACACACACACACACACACACACAAATGCATGTGCAGCAAAACTGAAACTTTAATTTGGTCCAGTGCTCATCATCTATCATCAAAAGCCAGCCAGTTTTTTTACTTCAGAGACTTTTTTTGAAAGAAGTATACTTCCCCCTAATTTCATCAATAAATCCTGAACTGATGGAGACCTAATTTTTGGTCAAAAAAATTAGTAATGACAAGAAAATTAATGTGTGCTGCTGCAGGAGTGAATGGACATGTAAAATGCACTCAACTGACATGCACAAGAATTTCTTGTCAGAGACATGGGTGGCAACACAATAATACTGTTTGTTTTTAAGGCCAACTTTCTAACTAAGTTACTGTGTAAAACTGGGTTCTAAAAACTGGTTGGCAGTAAGGATAACTCATTTTTGTCTCCAGACAGGTTCACGAACACATGACCATGTCACTACTTATAATTCTTAAACATACACTGTCTTTAATGTCAGATCGCCTTTCCCTTTAATTCAATTCAATTGTGAAGCAGTAGAGTTTCCGTTTTCAATTGCTTACGTAAAAAATTCCTTCCACTCCCATACAATATTTCTTTAAGTAAAAGGAAATTATGCAGCCTTGAACAAATTTTTTGACTTATGTCTGTTACTTTGACATTTTCACATTAGAACATATAAGTCTGATAATTAAACAAGGCTGCTGGAAATGGACTAATTATCCCTTCTTTAATACATTTTATTAGAATTTCTTTTTACTTTTTGTAATGAAGGATATATAATTGTTAGGAGCTCGTTATGCTTAAGCAAAAAACTTCCCTTGTAAATACATGATGATGTATATAAACAATTCTTTTTTATTAATAAGCTTAAAAAGAAAACCATATTTGCAGTAGATAAATTGCAGAAAGTTGATACAGTGTTTGCAAATTTTCAAAATTTTATTAAAGTAATTTGGCATTTGCTATTTTTACAGGCTTTCTTGAGGCTATCCCTAAGTACCTGACTATAAAATATAGTAGCATGATTACATGGGCAAATAAAAAAGATCTGTGTAAAATTTACAAACAAGTCTACCTCTGCATAATTGTAAAGGATTGTTCCAGTTCTATCTTAACATCTTCTCCGACCATAAATAATCACTGTCTCCCATGGTGTATTTGGATTAAATAAATATATAATTTTTGAAAAGTTATTTAACAAAATTTAATTTGCAAAGTAACTGAAATGGTCATCAGACAAAATGTATGAGTTTTATTTGTCCCATAATAGTTTGAATTCAACCCTAAGGAATAAACTGTTTCATATTTAAAAAAAAGGATTTTTTTGTTTCATGAGCATGGTCATTTCCTTTGATTTATTTTTTATTTTCCGAAGTGATTTAGCAGTCAAAATCTTTCTTCATCATTAGGCCTAATTATTATTTTTGTTTGATGCTGAAAAAGCCTATGTTACCTTTTGAAATGATGCAAAATGAATATATTAAAGGAATCTACAAATTCTAAATTTTAGAAAACTTATTTTGTAATTTACAGAATATGCTTAGTAGTTCCAATTTCTTTGCATAATTCTGCAGATCTTTTATTCATATAAAATGTTGTATCTTATCACATAGGGGGTGGTATGTAATTTTACTTTAATTACAAAATATATTTGATTGTAGTTTTCACAGCTTCAATGCATGAAAATATGAATTTTGAGAGAGAGAGAGAGAAAGAGAGAATACATATTGGATTATTCCCCCTAGCTTAGGTAGCTAGTTAAAATGAAAGAATAAGTCAAACTGACCAAAATAATTTCAATCTGACTTTTTTTTTTATTATAGAATGTTACAGTAAAACATGTCAATAAGTACACCACTATAGCCAAAGTTTTTTTATTATACACAAGAAAAGTTGTTCTTATTGAAATGCTAAGAATTAAATGGTTATATAAAATGCAAGCTCCAAAATATGAAATAGTTTTTTTTTATACAAAATTAATTTCAACTTACTCACAAATAAAAGAAGTGTAAGAATTTTTCTTATAAAGATCTGGCTGCAGATTAATTTTCTAATTTTCTTAAGAAAAATACTTTATCAATTTAGAAGAAAATGAGACTGAAAACTGGAATGATTTTTTAAATCCAGAAATTTTCAAGTCTTAACAATTTTTTAAAACTTTTCTTAACTTTTCAATACAACACTGACTAAATCAAGAAATTCTTATGTTTTTAGAAACATGCTTGTGAAAAATGTCTTCTGGCTTTGTTTATGAGTCATTTATTAATTTTCGTCGTGTCTTACTGTTACTGCTTTAGCAAACTTGAAGGTAAAAAATAATTGTTAGAAACATTTTTGTGGATTTTTAAGACATATTTCAGAAAAGAGTTAAGAAAATCCTGGGATGAAGTGTACTTAAACTTCCAGTCAATATAAAAATAAATCCATATCAAATGTAAACTTTAAGGTAAAAACTAATTGTTAGGAACATTTTTGTGGATTTTTAAGATAATTTCAGAAAACTTGAAGAGTTAAGAAAATCATGGGATGAAGTCTATATCAACTTCCAGTCAATATGAAAAGTAATCTCAATCAAATGTAAAGAGATAATGATAAATGAGTTATTCTTTAACAACAAAACTTTCAATTTCCATATTTGTAGAAAGAAATAAATATTTTCTCAAGGATAACATATACAGTTACTTTCATACCGCCACTGGTGGGCTGTTGAAAATTTCAAGCCTTAAAAATGCAACAGTATGAATGAATCCACTCAGTTTACAGATACAAATTCATTACAGCATCTTTCAGATAAAATTTCCCATATCCCCACTGAATCATGCTCTCGGATTTCTCTCTGATTAAGCAGCACCTAATCTTAATTGTTAATATCCTGGTAAGCAAATTGCAAATCACATTTTTCTTTCATGACTATCACTGTGACACGCCATTTTTATTTTCTGGCGACATCTTGATCCGTCATTAGGGGATACGATTAAGTGCAACCCAGATATTATTTGTGACAGTCCTCGTCCTGTGACAGGCGGCCGGAGCCCACTTAAGCAGAGTAGACAGGAACACACCAGATAACTGAGACGTAGTTCACACCCGCAAGGGAAATATATTCTGCCAAAACCAATCTGATCATTATCAAGCCTGACATTATCAAAAATTACTTAAAACCAGTATCTCTCCTATTAAGAAACATGAGAACAAAAGATACGACAATGATACTACAGGATTATCTGACTTACATACAAAGAAGCGTGTGTGAGTGCGTGTGAACGACGCCGAAGCCACTCCGTCTGCGTGGTGTACTAGAGCGCAGCTGCTGTGGTTTTTTATAACATCTGTGCTTTAACATGCGCTCTTGGTCCGGTGGAATCCCTCCCCTAGCTAAGTGTACTCTACGACACATACGTCAGGGTGATGCGAGGAAGCGTGATGTTGTGCGCGATCGGGAGCAAACGAGGTCCTTTTCACGGTCACTACCTTCCCTTCGACCCTTCACAGGTGCCACAAACATCAAGCATGCATTCACGCACATACGCTATCCAAACCCCCGCTGCAGTTGAACCACTACTTGGTGCATTCTTCAATGAATCAGTGATCACAGGACTGTAGGACGACAGGGAAGACAAACAAGAACCACGAGACTCAAATCTGCTCTTTTCTGCATGGAATCCCCCAGTTTGATACCAGACTCCCTTGCACTTGCTGTTCCCTCTAATAAATAATCCCCCAATTTTACTGAACCATCATTTGCGGAAGACACATACCTATTACCTCTGATGATTCCAAATGAAGCATGAAAAAAGAGCTGAAGGCAGAGATTTTACGCAATGAATCATAACAACTAGGTTCATTGAGACAGCTGTATTCAGTCTATGAAATACTGTATCCCGTTAAGTATTTGCGCTAGAAGGGTCGAAGATAAGCTCTGGCCACATTAGTTACATTAGAGTAAGCAACTGCATGAGTGATTTAGGTGTAGTAAAAAGGAAAGAAGGGTCATGTGGCAGAGAGATTTTGGGGGGGGGGGGGAGGAACAGGGGGTGAAATGAAAGGGAAGTGGGCAATGGTGAAAAACAAACAATAATCACGGGTGACTGGGGCCAGAAATGAAAAGTACATAAAAAACAAGCCTCCAGTTAGTGCTAAGAGAAGGCTTCGTAAGCTAATATGACAACCGTGAAAATGGGTAAACAAGCTGCAATCAGCGCGGCGCATGCTTCGCCGCACGAGGAGAGAGACTGACCGCGCAAACTGCATGGTCAGCAGGAAGACTCAATAACATTCACGCGTTTATTGAGTGGTCACTGAAGGGTACAAATAGGCTGTGACAGAAAAATGGGCAACTTATTTTAAGAGGGTCTTACGTAACTTTTTTCAACCTGGAGCAATGTAGGACAAATGCAGGTCAAATTGAGTACGGAAAAACAATATATAATGTCGCAGAGTTCAAGTGTGATGCGTAATAGAACTAGTTAGATTATGTATCTGGGTACAAACAAAATCTGTTTGTTTGTAGAAAAATCCAATGTCAACATTGTGCAAATTCTTCTAAGGATGAAATATTATGCTTGTTTGATTAGACTAGGATTTTTTGGTTTTAAAAAGAGAGTTTTCTCTTTTGGAAAAAGAAAAGAAATATATACGTATAAATCTTGAGATTAATTTTAATTATTTAAGAAGAAGATGTCTTTCTACTTTTATTTAAAATACAAGCTTTTCCTGAAGAAAATCAGATCAGTACAAATTCAGCATGTCATTTCAGTGCATTTTTGCTACAGAGTTAAATCATGTTTTTGGTATTAAATAAAATGTTTTTTCCATTAAAATAAGAGGTGGGTGCTTCACTTCAGGTAGACAAATGTTTTAGCAGGAGTCACAGTAGTCTAAAATTTCATCCTAACATTAAGAGTGAGGTTTGACCCATTCGTTGTAGTGAATCAAAGCAGTGGTCTAAAATACTCCATATCTGCAACACAGCAGCTGTAGACCTGTCTAAAATCCCTCGCCACAGCAATCAGCCTAGCTGTTTAGCCAAGTGTAACGGTCAATCAAATATCCAATGGTCAAACAGATTGACCACTTGTGGTATACCAAACAGTCATTCACGAGTAGCCAGCGGTCCTAAAATGGCCGGTTCAATGATCTTGGCTCAAGCAACGTTGTACAGCATTGGGTAAGCCTTTGTGGAGCAAGTTAACCAAATAAACGAGATGAATGCCCGGGGTGCAAAATTAGGGGTCAATACGGCTGCCACCTGTTGACTTTTCGTTTTGGGGGTGGGTGGGTAGGTGAAGGTGTGAGGGTGGGGTGGAGGGGGTGGTGCATGTCTCTGCCATGACTGCAAAGTTCTGTTTATCTTTTTAGTTAATGCCCTTCAATAAAGAATGGATATTAAATTTTTATATACACCTCAATTTCATTCAGTTAAACTACTTCTCACTGGATGATAATATGGCAAAAAGAAAGTGTTCATTTCATTTCCCCAACCCCCAAAATTAATCTAAGGTATAGCAAAATATTATAATTTAAACTTCACAAGACATATACATACATATTTTTTGTTATATCTAAAACTATGCAATTTTCTCCTCTAATTCACATCTTTTGAGTAATTTTTATGGAACTTCTTTATATTGGTAATTTTTTTCTCACATTTTCCTAATCTTAACATCCAATAACTGATAATAAACACTACATAATCATGAAAATAAAAGTACATAACTTTCTTTGCATTCCTACAAAAATTCAAATAATTTCCAAAGATGACAATTTTTATTGAATTTAGTTAATATTGTTAATATTGGTACATTCAACCCAATCTTATTTTAAAATTTTTAAAGAAAATATATACCACATAAAAAATTCTCCAGTCTGAAACAGATCTTAAAAATACATCAAGACAACCCACCTTCAAAAAATGTAAAAAAAAAAGTTAGCAAGCAAATGAAATACGACAAAATATCACTAAAATCAGATACAAACACATAAAAATCTGAGAATTTCAACCATGATAGCGCATTTCATTCTCAACCACGTAAGAGGTATTCCTAATTCCCCTGTATATCGGAAACTTTATACCATGTCAGAGAAACTTTACACTGCCATAACAAAAGTACCCCAAGTTTTGATTATAAGGTTGAATGGAAGTGTCACGTCAGTACGAAGTGCCGTAGGGGAGGGGAACTATTGGAACTCTCCAGTTAACTAAGCATATCTTATGACACAATGAGAACGAGTAGCGTCAGATTCCTTGGATCACTTTTATGTTTTTGACGTCCGTCTGAATTTGATTTTATTTCCTGTTTTGTAGTTTTCAAGACTTTCATCATGTTTTTTTTTAAATCGTGCTTTGATTTCTTTTTTTGTTTGTTTGTTTGTTTGGATAACAGTATAAAAAGTTGTATCAGTGATTAAGTGCTTGCTCAGCCTAGTCTGGTGCCAATCTGAAGTTTCAGCAGGAATCAATTTCTACTTTTCTTTTTCTCGATAATCACTTGAGAAAGAACAATATTGAGAGTGGTGGGAGGGGGAAGTAAATATGTAATCTATGAGAGAGAGAGAGAGAGAGAGAATGTAATCAAGTACATTTTTTTTCATTTTTTAGCTGCTAAGACAATAACAAATTGGGAGAAAAGGACAACCACATCTTTTTATACTAGTATCAAAACCATGTCCTTTACATGTCTAAAACAACTTTTATTTTGTATAGAGAAAAGAAGAAATTTTTATATCTGCAATTGAAATATTTCCTGTTAATATTTAGCATCAAGTAGGTTCAATGTTGAAGATGTTGAAGAACTGTTCTATTGCTTCAGATAAAATATACCTTCTTTAAGTTAACAAAGAAATAAGTAATTCTTACGCTGCTTACAATTAACTTCTAATTTTCACATGTGGTTTGAACAAAAAATTCCAGCTACAAAAATTAACTTAACTATCAGATATTTTCATTTTTGGTTTTGAAATTTTAATTTTAAATTGTTAAAACAAAATAATTAAAATCATGTTTTACAGATATGTTATATTAAAAAAATTCTAAAATGCGTTTTATTTTTGGAAAGAAAGTTGAAGTAAATTTTCGAAGTAAAATGTCTATCAATCGCTTCACAATATTTTCCCTTCTGATAAGTTTCTCTGAAGATTTTTTCCCCCAAACATTAAGCTATTTTCTTAATTTCAAAAATATAAAAAGAGCTCAAAATGGTGAAACAAAAATAATTCTAGAGAGGAAAAATATTAAAGACCAGGAATCGATGAACTAAATAGTAAACTTAACAATTATGTAGAGAAACTGCTGTGTCATAATTTTCTTCCCTGGGAAAGTAAAAAAATTTGTTTTAAAAATTGTTGTCTTCTATATTTTTTATGTGTAATAAAACATTCTAACAATACTTACATTTCTAGGTCAGTGGATATGGGATCTTGGATGAGATTGGCAACCTAGAGAGAAAAAAAAAATTAATAATTTAATAATTTAATACTTTATTATTTGCTCTTGTTCTTTATTTCATTAATCTATCTTTTTGGGATGACACTGTTAATATCATTATTTCTATGTAAAGGAGAAATCTACTCGTAGAAATATGAGGTGCTTACCACAATAAAAATAATTAACTTACTAATCAAATTAATAAATGAAAAGTAAAGAAACAAGAGATATCTCTACCCTTTAGGATTTTAAACTTACTTAATACAAAAGAAAAAAAAATTATTTAAAAAAAAATCCTGCCCTGAGGGGTGAAAATGTGAACCATTTCCTGCTCCCGAACCTTTAGAACCCTTTGTTAAATAGATTTGCTGAATGTGCTAATTATATTTTGAAATAAAGAAAACAAACAATAGTGGAAATCACACAGCAGAGGAGAAATACCTTTATATATTCAAAGGTGTCACCAGGTGTCGCCAGAATATCAACCTTCTATTCTCATGTACAAAACAGCCATATCAGAGGCTTAAAAAAGTAATATTAAATTGTAAAGAAAGGAATTAATTGCCTGTAGATAGTCTAAAATAGTTGCTGTCAAAGCCTCGATAAAAATGAAAACCAGGAAACCAATTACACACCAGAGGGCAGTAGTGAGGTCCTCACTTGCAGGATTGTTTTCAAAACAACTGAATTTTAACTTGGTGAGCTTTCACTATATACTATATCATTGCATATATTCTGATGCTTTAAGAAAAAGAGGTAAAATTCAAGATGAAAACATCTATCTCTTTTCTTTTACCAAATTTAAATCTCTAGATAAAAACAAAACCTGTAGAGATATGCCACAAGATTATGAAAGGGCAGATTATTCCAAGGAATGCAGCACAATGACTGATTGTGTTAGAGGAGACAAGGCTCACAAAGATGCGTTGATATCACAAACCACTGCAATCACTCATAAAATAGCCTCTCCAGTCACAACACCACCACAAAGTGAAAAACATCCGTGCTCCCCTGAGTCCACGGTCGGAACATGCATTCTTGTTCAGATAAAAAAGAAAAACCCGGCTCATTCAGGGTGCGATCGATGGAGGGCGAGGGCATGTGTACCTCGGTTGTTGCCCTGAATAGGACATGTATTGACTGATTGGCGTTGCGCTGGTGTGGAGCCAAGAATATCCCATACAGAACGCTCCTAACGCATGACTGCGCACAGGACGATAAACCATTTCTCTGACACACACACACAGACACAGACAGAAACAGATCTACTCCTACTCAGACCTTATGCAATCTAGGCCTTCATTGAAAAATCAATGAACCGAGACTGAACAAACAAAGCCCCTGCTTTCTGTATTATTGATGCCTGCATCTGAATCTGTTAAAGCGTGACCGTGACTGCAGCTCAAGCACAGAGCAACAAGAATAAAGAGTCAATACAGACTGTTGCTCTGTAAGGCTAGCTCCCTTTTTGTGTTTGTTTTTGATTTTCTATACATTGCCATACATTCTTCCTACACCCTTTATGACCTTCACCTTTACGGTTCACAATGCTACGCTTCAATGAATGTAAAGCTAACAAAAGGGGCTTTATAATTTTACATCCAGGCTCTGCACCCCTGCACACTGCTAGCTTTTTTTGAAAAATAATTTGATAACTGCAACCTTTATTTGTTTTACGGATTCGGGATAAAGAGATGGAATTGGTCTTCTCAGATTATCTACATACATTTCCTGTAGATATTTTAGAATGTTAAAATTCTTTCTTTTTTTTTTTACAATATCTCTCTCTGGTCGGCCTTGCAGGCAATTGTTTATGTTGAAGTCCCTAAAACCCTGACAGGGACAAAAGGCACGCAGGTGTGCGGAGATAAAAGTCACTGAAGTGTTTACGCCGTGACAAAAATAAACAATACCTGCGCAGATCTAAAGTTGGTCCGTAAACTACACTCATTCTGTGCAAATGTGATCTTATGAAAAGAAGGGGTGTTGGGAGGCTGTGCAGAAATAGATTTCTTTTTCTTAAATATATTTTCGTTTTGTTCGCTTGGTCAGAGGTCAGGAGTAGCAGAGGGCCGCTGTCTATCTGAGCTGACTCGCACACCTGGTCGGCCTGCGGGTGCCTCGGGATCGAAATTCAAACAAATTCTTTGCCCTTGTTTGTCCTGAGAACATTCAATAAAATTGATGCGTAGCATGTATAGCTTTTGATTGCGTATTGAAATGGTTTTATAATGACACCATATCAAGGACCTTAAAAACTCAAAGCCTCGGTACACAACAGAATAAATTACACTTCTAGAGGGAAACCTAAGTACATCTTTATATATTCAAACCTTCGACCCGTTCTTCTGTCTATTATGACAATAGTATGTTTTCTCTATCACCTGCCGAAACGGTTACGCATTAGCAGCGAACGACCATAGCGCCGCAGCTCTGTCAATGCGAGCAATTATCCACACCAACTGATGCGTGAGGCTACGAAGCGGCAAGCATCGATATTGGACTTGAACGAAACCAAGCATGAAAATTGCTTTCAACGACGTTAAAAAAGTTTTGCCATCCCAGGCCGCTTCCGGGGTATTGCCACTTTTCAGATAGCTCGGGACTCTTTGTATTGAATGCTTTCCAACTATCCTTAAGAATTCTATGCTGTGTTTGACTATGTCATAACAGCACGTGGTAACTGCTTTGTATCTATACGGTCTCCAAATGCCACTGGGTGCAAATTTCATCCTGGAGACTTGCATTTAAAAAAAAATTTAATGACATGAAAAAAATCATTCAATAGAACTTATGGGGAAAAAACATTCAAAAATGCTATAAACCATTTTAGGCAGATTTTACTAAATTCTGCTGATACTAAAAGAAAATGTAATATTACAAATATGACAAAGGCCACGTCCTACACAAATCATACAAAAAGTTAATGGTCATGCTTTTCTTTAGAACCTAAAACACACACTAAAACATGTAACAAATTTGTATCTAAATTACTTTATTAAGAAGAATACATATCCATCCTTTCACAGCTAATGAGCATTTTAGGAGGAGGTGACTTTTTTTTTAATAAACAAAGGCTGAGAAAAGGAAGGTATTTTGTACAAATCTTATCTATAAAAAGACAACTAATGAGACATTTTCCAACAAACAATTTTTTCCCTAAAATGTCAGTTGCATAAATCCACAGAGCATTATTTTTAGCTGCCGAGAAGTTTGACATACATCAGTGAAAAACTTTTTACTCTTACCAGCAGATATGACTGGCTTCAAAGATGAGAACACATGCCTATAGATGTGTTAGTTAATCGATTGATATATAAAGAGAAGGTGAGGGGGTTACAGGGCCTTTGGTGCTTGTAAATCACATTTGATTGTATAAAAGAAGCCTGCATCCATGCGTCATAAAATCAACAGTGTAAAAAATTGTTGTATATCACACACCTAATTTAGTCATATTCTGAAAAAAAAAAAAATTTTAATGTACATTTTATACATAAATATTTTTTATCTAGTTCAACTTCTTAACTGTTTTTTTTTCAGTTTTTTTTATTCAAATCATTTAAAAAGAGAAGGCAGAAAAGCCCTATTAACAAAAGTTGTCTTTATTGTGAGAATTGGCAAAAAATATGAATGAAGGATTCTTTTTGTTTGTGGTATTTAATTATCTATTTGACACACACACATACACACAGATAGATAAATTTAGATATAGATATAAAAAGAAATAGTAACCAACTCCAATTTCTATTTCAATATTAATCAAAAAGTAAAACCTTTGAATATATTCAAGTATGAGGTCTTTCAAAAATGAAAAAAAAAAAAAAAAATGACATAAATGCATTTATTTCTCAAGAACACACACCTGTCAGTTAACACTTACGCAGTCCAATTACCACTCAGGAAAAAAGATGCTAATGACCACTCCCATTAACTGACTTAACATTCACAGTTAGTTAAGTCCCCAAATCTTTATGCTACTTTGACACAAGAAACATCCGTAGAAGTCCCCTTAAATGGATTAGTTTCCCAGGAACGGCTTATTGTTTTAGACTCAACTGTAGTTAACTACGTGCAGCAGATTTATCCAGAATTCGAGAAGAGAAAAAAAATTCAAAAGCCCTGATGTAAATAGCAACTTTCACCCAGCCCTGTACTAGTGGATTAGCCGTCACACTCAGACTTGATCAACCCAATTACTAGTTTTCAAGTCCCTAAAATCTTTTCCGCAGGAAAGAGGTTACAATCAGTCTTAATCACACTGTGGTCATTAGATGTTAATGATATCACGAAAACTTATACAGTGGTCGGTACAAAACAGGTAAAGAATAATATGCTGCCGCACATGCTTTATAAAACCTTCCAATAGGATGCCATGATTTAAAATAGAGAAACCCACTGAAAAAGAATAATGCACATTATCCTATATTGGATCTGTATTTTAATTGTCTAAGGGCCTAAATTTTAACTTTTCAAAGAATCTGAATTTCAATTTTTCCAAGGATCTGAAATTCAACTTTCAAAGGATCCGAATTTCAACTTTTCCAAGGATCTGAATTTCAACTTTCAAAGGATCTGAAGTTCAACATGTCAAAAGATTTAAATTTCTACTTTTTCAAAGGATCTGAATTTCAACTTTTAACTTTTGCAGGTCTCTGTATCAGCCTTTACCTACATCAACACATTTTATCAAATCACATTAACTTTCTGAAAAAATCAAACCAAAAGCTTTAAAAGTGCTGCTTTTAAAACTTCCATTCAATTTTGCATAGCTATTTTAGGATAAATTAAAAAAAATAATAATAAAAATAAATAATCATGTTTCATCGATTGCTTGCTCATTACCTAAAAATATATTGTACTGCATTAAATTTTTTTTCGGAAAATTTGTAGCAAATAGGCATTATTAGCACTAAACAAACCATATATTTCCTGGCACAAACCCCTTGTCCTTCTGAATGTGTACAACCTATCGCATTTTCTTTTTTACACTTTTTTCTTGAACAAATACTTT